TTTCCTGGAAGAAGGACAGCATCAGCGCCGAACAGCAGACTGTGGGGAAGCAGCAGACAGGCAGCAGTCATTTTGGAGAGGCGGCGGCCATTTTGAGAGGCAGCAGCTATGTGGTCGCATCTCAAAATGGCTGCCGCCTCTCTGCTGGTTCCCAACAGTCAGCTGTTCGGCGCTAGAGTCAGGCTGTTCCCAGGCTACCAAGGAGGAGCTCGGTCTACTCGGTCTTACTACCAGGTAAGTGACTTCACTGGGAGAGAGGGAGGGTTTGCTGGAAATGCACCCGGCGTGTAAGACGACCCCCCCCACTTGGAGGCATGTTTTTCAGGGCCAAAAAGTCATCTTGTATGCCGGCAAATACGGTATCTAATGCTTATATTTTAAAAGAAATAGTCTATTTCTGAATATTTCTTTCATTCATTCTGTAAGAAATATACCAGTGTGGTATGTCACACTGCAATAGGCCACTGGAGTAGAAGCAAAAAAGATAATTTGATGTGACAGAAAAGGACAAAAAAGTTCTAGTAGAAGAAGGAGACACAGGTTTTTATGGTTGATACAGGTCTGAAGAACATCAGGTACCGTTTCCCCAAAAATAAGACCTAACCTGAAAATAAGCCCTAATATGATTTTTCAGGATGCTTGTAATGTAAGCCCTACCCCCAAAATAAGCCCGTTAAGTGAAACCCCACCCTCCACCATTGTGCAGCATTGTGCAGCAACCAGAAGATGACATGACTCTATTTGAATAAATGTAGATTGTTGTACATGAAAAAAAATCAAATATCCCTTGAAAATAAGCCCTAATGGGGTTTTTTGGAGCAAAAATTAATATAAGACCCTGTCTTATTTTCGGGGAAACACGGTAGCTGAGCAGCAGTACCTTTCAGGACTAATTTCAACAGGTAAAGGACAGATGCCAAAAGCAGCATCCCATGACAAATTGAAGTGATTAGTGATAATGGAATAAGTATGAAAAGGAAATCCTAGGTAAGACCACTGCACACATATAATGCAATACACCAAAGTTGTTTTAAGAATACCTCTCAAAATTTAATGTATGAGTATCACAAATTTGTCCATCATACTGATGTGCTTATTGGGGAATCATGACTGGCTGCAACCATCAGAATGTACACCCGGAGGTAAATCAAGATATGTCTCTACATAATACAGTAAATGTTTTCTGTAACCACGGTGTCAGCAGGACTAATCAGGAAGATCCAGGAATCGCACCATCTAATGTAGGAAAAAAAATGACTTTTCTTTTTGGTACACAAGGAAAAGCTCATTGTCATGGTAGGATTATGACATCTCCAGAACAAGAGATAAATAGCAGCCAATCATATATCTCTGTACTTCTACTTGCTACTTTATTTAACCTTCAAGAAAACTGAGCTATGAGAGGTAGGTATGTCACTCACCATTCTTTCTGTATTACTTTAAAAGAAACATCCTCTTCTAAAGTCAGAATTTTTCTTCTTCTTTCCTCTCTTGCCCACTTCAAATATATAGTATATTGTAGGTCAAATGGCTGATGTGCCATGTGTGAACTATAAAACCTTTTAAAATATGAACTTAAAAAAAAAACACACACACGAGACTATAGTCTGAATTCTGATAATAATTATACCTCACTGGACAAGCATGCTGAACTGTGCTTAACTATCCCCAATATATTTTCAAAATCATCCCAGGTAGTTATTTCTATTAAAATTATCTGAATTTTAATGAAAATGTAACCATACTTAACTGAAGACTATAATGCACACTTTTTTATTTTTTAAAAAAATTAGTTATTGAAATTGGACATTCTTCACACTGATAATTTATTGGCGGTGTCCATTTATTGTTGCAACTTTTATAATTTAGGAATGGAACCTGTACAAATGAATCAACAAATAAATATGCAAAGTCCAAACTTTGCACTACACATGGGCTTTTGTTTTGCTGTTGTTTGCTAATCTCAAGCAATGATACAGAAAGGGAAGTTATCCACTACTCCACACCTACCTACCAGTAATTTCTCAATTTATTTGTACACAGATATGTAATGGTTTCAGTCTTAGCAATTTGCATTACAAATATGCTAATACAGGTAGAAGCTGTAGGCTACTTCATAGTCTTGACCTGACTTGCTGTTGAGAAAATGGAAAATAGTCAAACAATGCTTGGAATAGCTGTGTCTTGTTTCAAGCTGGCAGCCACTGATGTTAATGGCAGTTCTTACATTACCCCCCCCCTTCCAACCTCTCCAGTATAGCTACTGCAGACCACCTGCTATCTCAACCAGCTCTGCAAATGGCCTAGGGTAGGTTCATAACATTTAAAAAAATCCAATTGCATGATAAGCGTTGACCACTGAAATCACTGTTGGCGAGGCTCTACTGATATAAGCTGAGAACAGTTGTGGTTCTTTTTCTGAGGACCTTTAATGTCTACAATCCAGCTTCTAATATCTGGTCTTTACAAAAATTGAGAGGAAGATTGATAACTTATGTGCCTAAAATGTTGGTGCTTTCGCCCTTGACTTGTCCTGACAAATACGTAAAAGGAGATGAAGGAGGAATAATGAATGCTGTGGTTGTTGTGGGTTTTTTGGGCTCTTTGGCCATGTTCTGAAGGTTGTTCTTCCTAACGTTTCACCAGTCTCTGTGGCCTTGCAGTTGTGGCCAGGTATATATTGGAACCACAAAATGCAGCATCCACACCAGAATCAGAAAACATGAAATACACTGCATACTAAAACAACTGGAAAAATTGGCAGTAGCTGAACATGTCCTAAAACAAGCTGGACATTAAATTCTATTTCAAAACACAGAAGTACTGGACAACACCAGCAATCATTATGTTAGACTGCACAGGGAAGCCATTGAAATCCACAAACACCAGCAGAGCTTCAACAAAAAAGACAGCTTAAAATTCAAGAAAGCCTGGCTCCCAGCACTGAAAAATACAGCCTGCAAAAGGTTAACGAATTCTACCCAGCTACAAGGACTGATGATCACTGCACACAAAAGACCAGCTAATGACACCCATCAATCACAGTGACAAATAATCTTTCTCCCTTATCACAACAAGACAACCACCACCACAACAACAAAACATTGTTCACAACAATCACCCATCTCCTAAAAAGGACAAAAAGCTGATCCCACAGCTATAAATACTCAACTATCCAAACAAATTGCAGCAGAGCACAAAGTTCTGACTCCTGTCCTCTGAAGATGCCAGCCACAGAGACTGGTGAAACGATAGGAAGAACAACCTTCAGAACATGGCCAAAGAGCCTGAAAAACCCACAACAACCGTCAGATCCCGGCCGTGAAAACCTTTGAGAATACAAAGAATGCTGTCCTTTAGTACAGTACTAGCATCATATTCCACCTATAAGCAGAAGTTTTCACTAATATCTATGTGGATTTCCTATGCCATAAGGTATGCAACTGTAAATCCAAAAGTGAGTAGCGAGAGACGAATCAATTTATTTGCTTAGCGTATTCATTCATATATTTAAAGATGAGTAATATATACAGAGCTCTAATAGATAAAGCACAATAACTGCTTAAAAGATTTGAAGTTATGTCAGTACAGTAATTACAATCATAGGCCTGTAAAACAGGAATAATGGGCTATTTCTGTATTTCAAATCTAAGGGTGTGGCAATGACAGAATACTGGCTCACCTACAGTAGAATCCTGTCCATGTTTGCTAGCAAGTAGTTCTACATTCAGTGACCCTTAATTACAAATAAGTCAACATTTGAATAGAATTGCCCTCTTCATGAGTTAATAGCCAATATAAAATCTGAACACTTTTTACTAACTTATACAGACTAGTTCTGATTTAAAAGCACCTGATAGAAAAATAGATGCTAATAGTATGAGATTCTCCTGAAATGGGGGTGTAAAAATGTATGTCAGCTCTAGAACTCCTCAGTGTTCACCTCATTATTAAATAAATTTGAAGTTTGGGTTGTTGAAAATTATGTGCACGTGCTTTGCTACTTAGAAGATCAAAATTTATTATCGGACTGTTATTTTGTATACAACCTTTAAATTATTATGAACAAGATACACACAAACCAGAGTTACTTGTCCACAAATACCGTCTTCCTCCTGCACTGACAACAACTCTGGAATTATCAACCCCAGAAGGCGGTTCTTTATAGAATGACGTCACAATGATCTGCTCTACTTACTGTTGTGTGTCGGACCTCAAAGCTCCATTTGGCATCCTATAAACCAGTGTTTCAGATACAGTTCAAATAGTAAGTTCAGTTTTGCAGACTCCGGAATGTGTTTTTTTTTGGCTGGGTTTAAAGCAGAACAGTGTAAGAAGGTAGCAAAAAGTGCTGAAAGTCAGCAGCTCTAAGAGGAAGGATGAAAGGAAGTCACAGAAAGATGAAGCAGCGACAATCCGGACACTGCTAAACAAAGGGAGGGTGGGCAAAGAAAGTGTCAGATGGCGATGGGAGGGAAGGACGCAGTAAAAAGAGAAGTGACAACCAGAGCCAAGTAACAGGAAAACAAACAGTAGGGAAAATCAGAGCCAGATTTGGATCTGGGGGAAAAAGATAAAACGCCGAAGCCAAGTGCATGACTCTAAAGCGAAGTGCGGCGAAAGAGCTACAAGTTATAGCTGTGGGACTTGGGCCCTCTGCGGGCCGCCGCGGGAGCGAGGTAGGCGCGCGGGAGCGCCCGTGTGTGTCCGTACACGGACGCAGGCAACTGAACGTGGGAAGGGATACGGGACGGGGGGGGGGAAGACAATGCAGGGTCAGGATCACGAAACCGCTCCCCTCAGGAAGCTGCGAAACGCAAGGGCAGGGCCCGCAGAAAGACTCGTGTTTCTCGAAGTGCCTCCAGTCGCGCCGTCTGCCTCAACCGGCTCGGCCCACGTCGGGCCGCTCCTCTCAAGCTGCGCCCGACGGAGGCGGCCTTTGAGCGTGGAGCGAGTCGGGCCGAGGAAGAAGGCAAAAGCGCGGCCGCGGCTGGGCTTGCCCGTGTGTTAGGCTCGCCCTCTTTTCCCTCCCTGGCGGAGGCGGGGGAAGCCGTTGGTGTGTCCGGCGGAGACCCCTCCCTCTCTGGCTCTTTTTTTTCCTGTGACACTACTCTCCCGGCGACGTCCGGAAACGCCGCCTGGGCCCAAAGGCCTCACCCCGCCGCCGCCGCCGCTCTCCGAAACCGGGTCCCCTTTCCATCCTGAGCCCTCGCCTCCTGCTGCCCTGGTGGGATCAATGTAGACCCCTGGAATCGGGCGGGGAGGTTTTGCAGAAACATGGCGGGTAGGTAGCGCCTCCCTTCCACCCCCGTCCCAACGCGAGAGAAGCACCTCCGAGCAATTCCCCCCCTTCCAACCAAGCAGCAACAGCCACAACAAAAAATAATAATAAGGACCGCTTTTTGCCGAGCCCGGCTCCTCCTCAGTAACTCCTGTACAGTCGGGGGAGAGCACCGGAGGAGGGGAGGTTCTCCCACTGTGTGGAGGCGCGCCTGCACCCGTGTGGGGTGGAAACTGGTGAAGGTTGGGAGGGGGAATCTTTCTCTCGAGCTGCTGGCGCCCCCCCCCCCGCCATTAATAGTATGCGTGTGGCTGGTATTTCTATGTGCATGTGTGGTAGGAAGGGCTTGTGGGATTTGTTGCCATACGTTCTTCCTCGCCCCTGTGAACGTGAGAAAGGGGCGAGCGTGTGGCCGTCTGTTACCGAGTTGAAAGCGGTGCAAAGCCGTGAGACGCTCCGGCGATTTCTTCAGACGGGGAAAGGGGAAATCCTTCTACTAGAGTTCCTATTTTAGTTTCGTTTTTTTAAATATATGTATATATATTTACAGTATATACTTTTAATCTCCCCGCCTAGATCTGTCGCTACTCCAGGAGGACCTGCAGGAGGAGATAGACGGATGTGAGTAGACCCCCCCCTCCACCCCAGCTTTCCTCTTCCTTCATCCCCCACAATAATTACGGATGCGCCCTTCCCACGTACGGCATGGGAATGGGGCGGGCTTATCTTACTCGGACCCGGAAACTCGGGGTATCCTGGGGCTTGAATGAAATGGGAAGAGGGAGACCGTCGCCTTTTAATGCAGGTTTGTTCGTTTTATAAAGTACGGCCGGGGAAGGATGGGCAGGGGCGGGGGAGCGAGCGAGTTGGCAGGCGTTTGGTTTTGCTTCCGTGAATCAATGGTTTGAAATAGTGGAGGAGGCCCACGTTGCATTGTGGGAGGAAGTAGCCATGCTTAGCTGCCCTTGCTGGTTTCTCCACGTACAGGCACTGATGTGTATGGCTTGCGAAGTTCATTGTTTTTGTGTGCACCTCTATGGGGGGAGGTGGGGCGGGAGGTTAGTCTTTCTTGCTTTCACGGAGGCCGTGTAGAAAAAAAAACGGGGAAAGTCATGAATGGAATGGGTTGGTTCTACTAATAGCATGGCTGATTGCTGTTGTAATGAATGAGATTTAGGTCAGGTTGTGCCTGAAGCTTAGCAACGGTGTCTTAGTACGAGAGACAGATAGTTGAGTATTGTCACCTAGGAATTATTTATTTTCCATTTCATGTGAAAGTTTTGGGTTTTTTTGTTAGTTGGATATGTATCTGGTTTGCCATTCAGTGGGACTGTATTAGTTTTTGAACAAGGATGAAATTAGGTTGAATGGCTTTCTCTAAAGACTTGGTAAAATGTTGGAGTTTAAGGGTGTTCTACTGGCTTTGAAGATGAATGGTATTTCCTTGTGCTATCTTAGGGATAAGAAAGATTCAGCAGGAGAGGAATGGGAGTTTCTTACACCTCTGTATAACCTCAAAATCTTCAACAGGGAAAGGGAAAGTAGAGGTTGCATAGAGAGGAGGAACTGCCACTAAGGAAAGCTGAATTCTGTCTGAATTATTTGTTGTTGTTTCTATATTAGATAAAAATGTAGATAGATGTTTCTTCCTTTAAACAGATTCAATAATGTGTCTATGCAGTAGTTCTGTAGTCTTCCCAAGCGTGAGGACTTTGATTTTGACCTTGGTGTATTTCATGTGTGTCTTTCGTGTGTGTGTGTGTGTGTGTGTGTGTGTGTAGCTGGTCAGAAAATCTGTCTCTTTTTTGAGACTTCAGAGAGCTGCTGTCAGTTTGACTGAGTAACACTGAATTGTGTAGGAGACAGGCTTACCTAGAAATACTAGTCCACATTTGTTTCAGAATATAATGGTTTGAAGGCCATCTCTACAAATTTATCGTATCTTGCTAGAATTTGGTGTGCATGTGTGATTTTATAATGAATTAAAATAGAAAATGCAGTGATATTCTGTACTGCTATCTGTTATTGTGTAGAAAACAAGAGCAAAATATAGCCAAATACTCAGAAGATATATGAATTAAAAATATATGTCTCAGTAGTAGGAATGTAAGATCACTGGATAGTATATTATCTTCTCTTAACAGCCTTCCCCCACCAGTTTATTCCAGATGTTTTGAAGTACAGTTCCCATCATCTGTGATCATTGGCATAGTTGGGGTTGATGGAAGCTGTGGTGCAAAACATCTGACACCTGATTGTGGAAGTCGGCTTTATACTGTTGGTTCCTGTATCCTCTCCCTTATTCCTTAGGGTCACTTCACATCTGAGGGGAATCAGATTTAGTAAATTGGAACTCCCATCACTGGTAAATGATATTGTTGGTGGGCATGCTTAATGATGGTGGAAGTTGCAGTGCAACACAGATAGAGGGCTGTCTTGTGGGCATATGATTCATATGTATGAATTTTGGTAGTGGTTGATCAATACTGCTTTGTGAAGAAGAATTTTATCTTACAAAGCCTTACAATGTTTCAAATAAATGAAGATGTAGAGGAAAACAAAATTATTTGATGATAGTAAGCCGACTTGTACCATTCATCACTGTACAGCTGTATACAAATTAATATTCATTAAGTTGTGTTCCTCTTCCTTTTATTACACATAAAAAGTTGGACTTGTCACAGGAATTCTCATCTACTTACTTTCATGATGGTTGCTGTTATAATAGGAAAGCTTTATCAAAGAGGAGCACCTCTGAATGAGCAATTACAGTTTTTGAGTTCTATATTAGCATACTTCCTGTAAGTGTCCACTTTGTGCCAAAGTTCTTCCAATGAGAACACTTCACTTCTTGTTCTTGCATGTTTCATCCTGAACTTTATGCACTGTGTGTTTTTGAAGTAATGCAGCTGTCTTGGCCCTTCATAGAGGGAAATGGATCATCAAAAGACCTGTTCTGTATTCATGGTTTTAGAGATAGAATTGGAGCCTTAAGCTGGCCATAACTAAGACAACATGTTGACAAAGACTGAAAATTGAATGACATGGAATAAATGAATCTGTTAAGGAGAGAATGCTTACTATGTGTGCTTTTATTTTAGTTTTTTATATTTTTTATGGTCCAAAATCTATGCACAATAATTATGATCCAGATTGTTTTTATCAAGATTTTGTATTTATCAAAGGCCTTTAGTTATTGTATTTACCTCATTGTGCATTTTACAGTTATTTTCTTACACATTTTACTTCTTTTTTACCGTCAGGGGCTTGCAAGTAGTAGACAATGAATTTTCTAGATTAATAAAATTAGGTCTGTGACTGAACTTCAGGAGGAATACAGCATCCTAACTCTGTAGTTAAAGTTTTGGTCTTTGTAGGTCTTTGGAGCTGCTTGCATCATTTCTTATAATAAAATTTCAAGTTGTTTAGTAGAGTTTTCTTTAATTGGTGAAGTCTCTTGTTTCAGCAATTGTTGCGTATATGCATGGATTAGAAGTTAACCACTTTACACAGTCAAATGGGACAAGGAAGAATTTAGTCTTCACTTCTTTGGTAACTAAAATAGATAAAATAAATTTTCTCCATAAATAGGTTCCCAGCAATTTTGCTTTTATATGTAACCTGTGTTTGAGTTTGACACTCAACCTTTTTTTTTCCAGCTTGAAGGCTTATTTTCAAAGCCTCTATTCTTTCCCGAGAGGGATGACTTAAAAAGCTGATTTTAAGCTGATACAGCAGGGATGGGGAAAGTAACACCCCCCCAAAAAAATTTTGGACTGCAGTTCACAACATTCTTCATCACTTACTATGCTGGCCAGCATTTAGGGAACCAATAATTTCTGAGGACTCCAGTTTGCCCACTCCAGTATAGAGCACAAGGAAGCTAAGGGTACACAATAATATGCTTCTTAGTATTCTAAAAATGTTGTCACTTACCATGACCACTTTCAGAAGCAGCAGCTAAGAAAGTGCAAGAGAAATTTGTTATACTTTGAAAAGTATCTGAGCAGTTATAAACAGTACTTCAGTTTAAAGTGCATCCATTCTGTTGAGATAGGTCCATATATTTCATCTGCCCAAAATAAACCACTGTAGAAAGCAACTGATGATTGCCAGCATGTCACAGTGAGCAACAGCTCTGTTTCTATTATGTAGAATTGATTCGAAGTTTAGGCATGCAGCAGGTTCACTACACATGACAGGCATGCATATACAGTGGTGCCTCGCATAGCAACGGTAATCGGTGCAGCAAAAATCGCTGCAAAGCGATTTCGTCACTATGCGATTTTAAAAAGCCCATAGGAATGCATTGAAACCCCTTCAATGCGTTCCTATGGGCTTGAGATTCACCTTTAAACGAAAATCCTCCATAGGGCGCCCATTTTCGCTGTCTGGTAAGCGAGGAATCCGTCCCAAGAAACAGCGGCCGGCCATTTTTTTAACCCGGCGGCCATTTTGGAACCGCCGATCAGCTGTTAAAAAAACCATTGCTTTGCGATGATGGGTAAGCAAAACCGATCATTGCAAAGCAATTTTTCCCCATAGGGAACATCGCAAAGCGATCACTTTTGCGATTGCAAAATCTTCATCGCTATGCAATTTCGTTGTTAAACAGGGTGCTCGTTTGTCTGGGTGACCATGGGCATGTAGTTTGTGTAAATCTCACAGTTACACATAGGCTTCGGTTAAGCAAGTGTGAAATGTTGGGAAAGGGAGCAGCCTTTATTAGATATTTAGCAGAACAACGAAGGCATGTTATGCGGTTAATAATTAATCATCACCATCATATGCTATCAAGTCAATTCTTACTTATGGTGACCCGTTTTACTGAAGAGTGCAAAACTGTTGTTGCAAAATATAATGGTATTTTTTCATATTTAATGATAATGCACAGAACTACAGAAAGTGCCTTTTGTGGACAGTAGTGTATGTGCACAATCTCAATTTTAGTTTCTTAGGCAATAATTGGTGGATTTGTTGGAATTCATTACATTTATCTATTCTGTGGCTCCAACCCGAAATTTATATTTTGTTGAACTGTGTTCTATATTTACAGTGCAGTTCTGAAACCTTCATTACAATTCACGTCAGAGCAAGGTCTTATATTTACATTTGGATCTTGATGTTCTGAAAACAATTATTAACAGATAGATGAATTGCAGAAATTCCATCTGCTAGAGATGTTGCTTGTGCATCTTAGTAAAACATGTTATTCATTTGGAAAATCCAATTCTGATAAGTATCATTTTTCTCCCATAGTGCGAAATTACAAAAAGAATACATGCTCAAAATTATGTATTTGAGAGCTGAAAATGAAAATGGATAGATTTTAATGACAGCTTTCTAAAAATGAACGGTAATCTGTCCCAGCAGTGGCACATGGGGCAGCAGTTAAAAAAATCTAATGTCAGCAGAAGTGACAGAAATCTAATTTAAAGAAAAGTGAAATTATAAAACTATAAACTAAAAAAGAAAAGAAAAGAAACCTCTTCCAAAGCCCACTCATAACCCTTTGGATTTATAGTCTCTGTACAGGGTCATTCATCTTTAAAGGCGAGAAGAATGTATGCTGAACTAATGTAATTGTTTTGCTTCAGTTTCCTGTATGTATTTATTTCATG